CTTGAATTATATTAAAACAGTGATATTTCATTCTATCAGTAAATTTTACATGGTCTGACAGGTCTATCCTCTTTCAACTCTTTATCAAAGAAAAGAAATAGAATATGAAGTTGATATCTATCTCAGAGTTAAGTAAACATCTCACTGATATCTTCTCATTCAGAGTATGCATTGTAATTATAACATAAACTTGAAGATATGAGAATTATCAATTCTTTATTTCTTTCTCTTCTTTATCTTTCATGAATATGTTTGTCAGAAGAGAAGTTAACTTTGAGAAGATATCTTCTCAGTTTCTTCTCTTCTTTGACTTCTTACAATCACTGATATAGTGATTATCAGCTCTGCAGTTGAAATAGAGATCTTTATTAAATCTTTTTTAATGTTTCTTCACAGTGAGTGAAGAATTAGAATACTTAGAATTCTTCTTTACTTTCTTCACACTGAAGTTATTATAATGCTGTTTAGATTCTGTCATTGATTACTTAGAAGAGGTCTTATTAGTCTTTTTCTCAGAGAATTAATTATTTGAATAGATTCAGAAAGCCAGGTTGACAAGCTCAGTATAATTGATTAATAAACTCTGATATTGTAATATCATTGTTCACACCTTGTGAGTCAGCTTTGTGAGATAAAGCTGTGTTTTTAATTGATTCAAATTATCAGTTAATTTCTCTCAATATTCTTCAAATCTTATATTGAAATTGAAAGAATTCTCATTATCTTATTAATATAATGAGTTGAATCACTGTATCACTGTAAAGCTGTAATTATAATAATCTTTGATTTGATTCAGTAGAAAGTTCTTGAATTCTTTTCAAGTTATAGCAGTATTGATACACTCAAGCTCTCTCTTCTTAATAACTCAAGTAGTCACAGAGGTGTCTTCAAGAAGATTAATAATATAGATTACTTATATCTTATGAGTATTATACTAGCTCAGATTAAGGTGGAATTTCTGTTCAAGAGTATGAATAAAGCTGTGAAATTCAGATAAGATGTTTTTCTTGTATCTCAGAGAATCTCTGATCTTAATCTCTCTATCTTCATAATAGATGTAGATGTGTAGAGGTTATAACAGTGGCAGAGTGATTGAAGAGCTCATATCAAAATATGCAGCAGGTTCAGAAATCTCAGATTTCTGCTGAGATAGAGATGTACACACTCTAGGAAATGATGTAGTGTTTCTCTCAGAGAGTGAGGTCAGATCAGTCTCAGTGCAGATACATGAGATTATATCAGTCTGTTAGAGCTTGACTGATTCAAACTTATAATCAGAGTCAGTGATTCAAATTGTAATATAATGAAACTGAAGTGATGACTAGTCAGCAGTGTTATATAGAAATAGTTGTTTGAGAAGCTATATAAGTAAGCTTAACTATCTTGCTTGAATAGTGAGCTTGTAGACTACAGAATTATTATGAGAATATCACAGATGTGATACTTAGTATACTAAGAAGATTGTATAAGATATACAGTAACTCTTGTATATATTTCAGTAGAAGAAAAATGAATCACTGACTTCTTTGATGAGAAGTCAGCATCTAGCTATTCTATATAGACAATGAGCAGATATTCTCCTCTCATTTCATAAGTAAGAATAGCTGGAGCAATATCTCAGCAGTGTCTTATTATCAAGGAAGAGTAATCTGCTGACCTCATATAGAAGCGGGGTTCTCATATTCATCAATCGGATCTTTCTATGATATATCTGAATGATGTCATAGAGTGATTGGAAACCGGTTCAGATGAAATGGAATCATCCGCATGAAATGAATAGGCCGTGTGGAACCGCAACGGGGCCTTGGCGCGGCCGGGAGCGTGACATGTGAGCACTTATTCTTACATTTCAAGCTCAGTCAGTCAGCAATCACTCATTATGACTGAAAGAACTAGAAACTTACATACTTCAATCTCTGTAAACTCTACTGCAGACACTCAGAAGCAGCCATCTGAATCATGAATAACCTTTATAAAAGAAGTCTCAGAGAACTTATCAATTACTTATGAAATATCATTCTCTGCATCTGTGATAGAGAAACTCTCTGAACTCATGAATAAATCAATCTCAGTAAAGAATATTCTTGAGCATCTTCTATGAGATCAAGCTATCTTTTTATAAGAAATGCTTACTGTCTGTAAACACTCTTAAACTGAGTCTCTAGACATGATCTTCAGAGATATCTGTAAACTGAAAAGAAACTTTCTTAAGCTGTAATCACTTAAGATCACTTATCAAACTACAATCTATAAAAGCTTTTACAAGTTTGTATTTGAAATTGACTTACAAGCTCAGCTGTGTGATATGAAAGATGAAGAAGCTATCATCTATACAATGACAGATCTCTATTACACTGAAGTCAAGAACTGACTGAATTATCTAGAGAATAATCATGAGAGATTCTGCTGATCTATTCTCAAGATCTATCTAGAGAACAAGTTGAGAGACTCTGCAAGCTGAACAGAGAATATCTGAACTGTGATTATTAATATTAGAAAAAGAGATAAGAAATCTGATGAAGACTACTTACAGTACTTCATGAAATTATGATATGAATTAAGATCTGTGAAAACAGGGTTCTGAAACAAGATCTGAATAATGATGTTTGTAAAGAGACTGAATAAAGATATGTAGAATAAGCTCATTAAGTAAGACTTTAAGCTCTTGATTCTGAAGAAACTGATAACTCTTATTCACTGTTTATGAATCACTGTAAGAGTCACAGACTCATGAAGAGTGAATCACTGACTAGCTCTGCAAGACTCAGAACAACAGAGAACAGATTTATCAGAAAAAGATAATAAGATATAGAGAGATTCATATCTGACTGCTGAGTAGAGAGAAAGAGCTTTATAAGCTTCTGTAAACAGAGTATATAATAGAGAGACTAAGAAAAAGAAACTCTGCTTTATCTATTCTAAACTAGAACATCTTCATACAAACTGTTCAGACAAATCAAAATAGAAATTTAAGAAGTCACAGACAGAGTCAGTAACAGCCTTCTTAAGAGTCTTGAAGCTGACATCTGAATCTGTTACTCTCTTGATAAAAATACTTACTTATGAGAAGAGACTGCACTGTAATGCTACTGCTCTGCAAGTATAAAAAGTATTAATGAACTCAGAATCTCAGATCACTGTAGTGTCTCTAAAGCTCACAGAGTGAATAAGCTGAAAGATGAAAACTGAGAATCTGCTCTTATAATAAGCAGAGTGTAAGAACTCAGATCTGAGAGCTGAGAGACTTATAAGAGTCATCTTTGAATTGTAAGATCTCTCTGAAACCTGAAGAAGATTTACAGAAACTGTGATCATTACAGATATCACAGATAACATGTACTTGAGACTTGTATAACTTCAAAGACATAATTCATATATAGCTGTCTGTGAGTCAGGTTTATACTTCTGATCATTGTTAACAGACTTACTTACAGAGATAGAATCAGTTAATACTGCAGAGTTAATTAAAGAAGATAAGTCTATCTATATAATGACTTTATAAGTGTCTGAGAATCTCACAGTTATGAAAACTGAGCTTCAGATATCAGAGAAATACTGAGATCTTACAGAGATATTCAGCTCAGTAAAGACAGCTGAGCTTCTTTCTCACTATGAGAAGAATCTGATAATAGATTTGATAGAAGAGCAGAAACTCTTCTGAGAATCAATCTATAAGCTCTTTCATTATAAGACAGAGATCTTATAAGCCTATATAAAGAAGAATCTGAAGAATGACTTTATTCAATCTTCACAGACCTCTGTGAGAGCCTCTGTGATGTTTGTAAAGAAAAAAGATAAAGATCTCAAATTATATATAGACTACTGCAATCTGAACTTTAAGATAACAAAGAGCTGCTATTCTCTATCTCTGATTGAGAATGTAATCAATCATCTCACAGAAGCTGTCATATTCACACAACTGAATGTGATCAATGTATATACACAGCTGTGAATACAGTCTGACATAAAAAACAACCGCTCCACCATGAACTCGCTCGATTTTTCGAATAAGAACCCGCCGATAGATCCATCAAAAAGCCCTCGATCATACAAGCATTTTGACCCCATCACCGACCGCATACCCTGTGTGGTGGTGGAGTTATTCAGCCAAATGTGAACCAGACATTGTTTGAAACTCCTGTGTGGGATTATCCCTCATTCTCCCCTATCACACCACAACCCCGGGCCAAATTGCCATACAAATTGTAAGGTGAAGAGACCTAGTCATATGCATCAATCTTCTTGATTTTGAAAGATCTCTGATCTGTAGTTGTGAAGATATCTGAGGAGTGATCTCTGTGAAAACCCTGTTCATCTTTGATGTTTCAAAACACTAACATCAAGTCTCACCCTTGTATCGCCCTTTCTAATCTGGCCCATTCTCAGCAGAAAAATACAAAAAGATATCTCAGTGATAATATCAAGTATATAATCAACAGTCACTTCTGAAGTGCAATCTTCATGATCTGTCTTCAGTATATCTAGACATCAACATCAAGTCTCATTCTCATATCATCTCTCTCAATCTGGCTCATCTCTGATAGAAAAGTACAAAAAGATACCTCAGCAACTGTACTTGATACATAATTAACAGATATAACAAGTATAAAATCAGTATATCTCAAGATCTGACTGAGTCTTTGATCTCTGTATAGTGAGATATATTAAATCTAGTTTTAATATCTCAATATTTAATAGATTCTGCAAGGGATTGATAACAGCAACACTAGATTTCTATTGAATTTGAGAATTAACTCTATATTGATATAATCATTGACAAAGTCTTCTATTTTGAGATATAATAATCAGTTTCTCTACATCTCACTGACAATATTTATATTATTATATAGAAACAGACTTATATTCTCTATAATATCAAGACTCTGAAGAGGAAAAGTCTTGATAGAGAATATATAGTAGTGTATATCTTAGCAGTTCCTATCTCATTCTTCTGTAGCAGTTAATGTAAAAAAAAAAAGATCTTAGAAATAGTTTTTTACTCACATCAACGACCGCTCCACCACGAACTCGCTTGATTTTTCGAATAAGAACCCGCCGATAGATCCATCGAAAAGCCCTCGATCATACGAGCATTTTGACCCCATCACCGACCGCATACCCCGTGTGGTGGTGGAGTTATCCAGCCAAATGTGAACCAGACGTCGTTCAGAACTCCTGCGTGGGATTATCCCCCATTCTCCCCTACCACACCACAACCCCGGGCCAAATTGCCATACAAATTGTAAGGTGAAGAGACCTAGCCGTATGCACCAATCTTCTCGATTTTGGAAGATCCCCGATCTGTAGTTGTGGAGATATCTGAGGAGCGACCTCCGCGAAAACCCTGTCCATCTTTGATGTTCCAAAACTCCAACGCCAAGTCCCACCCTCGTACCGCCCTTCCCAATCTGGCCCATCCCCGGCAGAAAAATACAAAAAGATACCTCGGCGATAATATCAAGCACATAATCAACAAACAACGAGTCAACAGCACGCCAATAACTATAAAATCAGTATACCCCAAGGTCTGACTGAGCCTTTGATCCCTGCACAGTGAGATATATGAAATCTAGTTTTAATACCTTAATATTCAATAGATTCTGCAAGAGATTGAGAACAGCAACACTAGATTTCTATTGAATTTGAGAATTAACTCTATATTGATATAATCATTGACAAAGTCTTCTATTTTGAGATATAAATAACCAGTTTCTCTACATCCTGCTGGCAATATTTATATTATCATATAGAAACAGACTTATATTCTCTATAATATCAAGACTCTGAAGAGGGAAAGTCTTGATAGAGAGTATACAGTAGTGTATATCTTAGCAGTTTCTATCTCATTCTTCTGCAGCAGTCAATGCATAAAAAAAAAAGATCTTAGAAATAGTTTTTTACTTCTCTTGAAAAAGTAAGGTGTTTTTCTCTGGGTTTTACACAATATTCTTACAAAGAATTAAAAACAGAGCTGTTTTCTGTCATAATTTCATATTCTTTTAAGTAAGAATTACTTTTTCAGTGACTGAAGAGCTTTCATTAATACTTAATTCTTTTTTACACTCTTTATTAACTGATTTGAGTTGCACACTTGTTGTTGTGTGAGAAGAATTGAATAATTTAGAATAAAATTGAATAGTTTTAATCAATTTCTCTGCAAAAAATTGATTTATTTTTTGTCAGTTTTTCTCTCAAAAACTGTCATATTATCTGATTTATTATCAATTGATATCATACTTTTCCTCACTGTATCCCAAGAAAGAGATTGTAAAGATTTTATTGATTTATCTTGAAAATCAATTTTAGTTTATTAGATTCTCTTTAAAAATCTAACCTAGTTACTGAACTAGTGTGAAAAAAATCAGGTGTTTTATACACAAAAGTCTTTTATTCTTCTTTTGAAACAGTCTGACCAACTTTTCAATTGAAAACAGACTTAGAAATATCTCAATTGAAACAGTCTGATCAACTTTTCATTGAGTGAAAACAATGAGTTCAAAAATACACTCAGTTGATGTGGAAAAAGATGCTTTTTCAAATGCTATTCCTGAGATTGAAATTCTGAAGAGAAGAAAGAAAGAAGAAATAGAGAAATAACAAGTTCTTGAAATACAGGAACTTAAAAAAGCAAGCAAGATTCTTGAAATGAAGTGTCTGAGTGAGATGAATGAAGAAGTTCTGTTAATTCTTCATGCTCAGACTAGACAACTACAGGAGATGATCAAGTTCAAACTTGGAATCTCAAACACAGTTCAAAAACCATTGAAAATTCCTAGTACAATCACTGACTCTTCATCTTGCTCTTCTTCATTCTTTTTTTCTACTTCTTCTTCTTCTTTGAATCAGAAGAAAACATATGCTCAAGCAGCTGAATCTGATGTCTCTAAACCTGCTATCTCAAAACCTGCTCAAAATCCTGAGAAAACTGAGAAGAATACTGCTCATGCCTCTATTCATAGAAAAGTGAAAAAGAAAATATAAAAAGAGAAAAACTTTCAAATCTTCAGAAATAGAAGACTTATTCTCAAAGTCTCAAACCAGGACATTCTGCTAAGAAACAAGCTAAACTCAAATCTCATTTTTAGAATCAGAAATAAAATTAATCAACAGTTCTTTTCTCAGTTGATGACTGATATTGAAGTTCAAAAACCAGTTATAGCTTCAATTGAGTTATCATTCTTTGAAAACTCCATCATTCTGACTACAATGCCTGAATTCAGTGCTGAATTCCTTATTCAGAATGAGAATCTCTGAAAGTCAGCAGTAGAATCTTTGTTAAACACAATAATTCTATCTGAAAGAGATGAAAAGTGGGATAAATTCATTCTTCATAATATTTCAGTTGAAATTTTTGACTGTGAAGAAGGAATGCTACTTCTCAAAAATGAATTGAAAGAATACAACTCTATTCAACTGAGAAAGAAGCCTGTATAACTAAATTCAATTGAGTTCAGACAAAGCAGGAGAAATGCCTCTGTTCTAGTATATATAAAAACACTTGAACAGTCAAAGATCTCTGAAGTAAGAGTAGCAGATTTGAAAATGAGAGTTTATGAATACAAAGACTCAAGAATGAATCTCAAAGCTCAAACACAGTGTTCAAACTATCAAAGATATGGACACTTTGCAATCTCATATTTTAGAGACTCAAAATGTGCATTCTATACTAGAGATCACAAAACTAGTGAGCATAAATGTGAAACATGCTCAAAAAGAGATGAAATTTATCAATATACTCTGCTTAAGTGCTCTAATTGCAAAGAAAAACATGCATCTAGCTCAAAAGAATGTATGTTTACTTCTAGAACTCAAAAGAACTGGAGAAAAGATGAAGCTCAAAGTCAATCTAGAACTGAAGAGAAGAGTCAAGCCAGTAGACTTACAACTGCAAGCTTAAAAAGAAGAAACTCTCAACTATCTAAATCTTCAAACTCTAATGCTTCAGCTAAATGTAAACAGAATTTAAATTCTCAAACTCCTGTTAAGATTAGAGAATTGAGAAATAACTCTGATAATAAACTAGATATAATGCAAGCAGTTGAGATTCCTACTTTTAAGAATAGTTATAATCTACTATCTGATGATAGTGATTAGATTCTACTCTACTCTCTTTTAGTATGAATATACAGCAAAAACAACAAAAAAAGTTTAAAAACTCTTCAAAAATCACATTTATTTAAAATAATGTGAATAGAAACTCAAATTGCATTTATTCTTGTCTTCAAATTGCATTTGAATAAAAAGTTGATTTTATACTGCTTCAGGAGCTGAATTTTGATGCTGAGTAAAAATATGTCATTTCTCATTCAAGCTACTACTGCTTTTTACCTCAAAAGTCTGAGATAAAGTCAAGAGTAGTGATCTATGAAAGAAAGAGATCAAGATATCAATTTAATCTAAGATTTGATATTATGTCTGACTCTGATATTCTGGTGAGTGATATTATAGATAAAGAAAATGAGTTTGATACTATACAGCTTATAAATATCTATAATGAAAAGTCATTGAAGAAAAATAACAATATCTGGACAATTGATAGAGAATTTCTGAATATAACTTCATCAAGAAACTCTATAATTGCAGAAGATTTCAATGCACATCATCCCTGATGAAATTCAGAATGCAAGAGAGCAGTGAGAGCTGATAATCTAGTTGAATGAATCTTTGAGCATTCAATAGATTTGGTTAATAAGTCTGATCAATAAACATTCTTTAGAAAAGACATGAAACAGAAATCTATTATAGATTTAATCTTCATATCACAAAATCTAATGAAAAGAAGACTTGTAAACTGGTTTATTGATTCAAATGAGACATCAGGATCAGATTATGAGATTATTCAATTTGAGATTGAACTGAGTGAAAAATAAATGAGTGAAAATCCTCTTCTCTCTAATCAGTTTAACTTTGAAAAAGCTGATTGAAAAGCAGTTGAAGAAAGCATAAAACTGTTAAAATCTGAAAGACAGAATGAGCTATATTGAAATCCTGGTCAAGATATCTCAAATGAAATACTTAAGAATAGAGTGAAGCTTATTACATCTATTATTCTAACAAGTGTTAGAGATAATATTTCAAAGAGAAAATCTTCTGAGTATTCAAAACCTTGATGGAATGAGAATATCTCATCTAAAAGGAAAGAATTAGCTACTGCTAGAAGAGATTGAAAGAATGATGTAATATCTGATGAAGAGTTCAAAGCTGTCAGAAATGAATATTTTTCAGATATTAAAAAAGCTAAAACAGACTGCTGAAATAAATTTCTTAAAGAAGCACAAGAGAAGGAAGTTTTTAAAGCTTTTAACTATACTAAAACAAGAAGTGTAGCAAAACTTCTAACCTTAGAATATAAGTTTCAGAATGAATCATATACAGCAAACTCTTTTAAGGAAAAATATCAAGCTTTTATAAGAACTCTCTTTCAATACTCATCAGATTCAGATTCAGAGGAAGAGAATATATCACTTCTTAACTATATTGATGAAAATGACTGAGAATGGCCTGATCTTACTCAAGATGAATTAGAGTCAGCTATTTTCTCAAGTTCAGTTAAGACTGCTGCAGAGCCTGATTCAATTAATCACTTGATTATTCAAAATATATACTTCTACTTAAAGAATGAATATTTTGAGCTCTTTTTCAATCTCTTGAAAAATGAATATCATTCTGAATACTGAAGAGAAGCCACTGGAGTGATTCTTGCAAAGTCTAATAGAAAAACTTCAATTTCTAAGTTATATAGAGTAATATCTCTATTGAACTGTCTAGGAAAGCTTTTAGAAAAGATAATAGCTACTCAAATATCTTTTATAAGCTCTGTCAGTAATTCTCTTTTATTCAGTGAATAAATGAGAGATAGAAAACAGTGTTCTGCAATTGACACTGTTCTCTCAGTTGTTTATAATATTTAAATAGCAAAGCATGAAGGTCTGGTCTCAACTGCAGTTTTTATTGATATAAAAGAAGCATTTGATCATGTTTCAAAGTCAAAGCTAATTCAGACATTGAAGATGTTAAAACTGTCACTTTCTCTAATAAAATGAGTTAACTGTTTTATGTCTAAAAGAATTATACAACTTTTCTTTGATAGAATGAAATAAGACAAGACTGAGATAAAAATAGAAGTATCATAAGAATCTTCAATCTCACTCATTTTATTTACAATATACACTGCATATCTATTCAAGAATAGAAATATGAGAATAGTGAGTTCTCTGAGTTATATGAATGATATTGATCTAGTCTACAGCTCAAAAACTATTAAAAAGAATTTAAAAGTGATTGAAGAAGCTGTAAAGAAAATCTTTATTAGAGCAGATATCAATCAAATTCAATTTACTATGAATAAAACTGAGTTAATTCATTTCTTTCCTAGATTCAATGAGAAAGAACTGTCTCTATCTCTTTTAAATAGAGAGATTAAACCCAGTGTATATGTCAAATGATTAGAAGTATGGTTAAACTCCAAGTTGAACTTTAAATATCACATTCAATAAAGAACTGTCAAGGCAGAAAGGCTATTGAACAACATAATCAGACTATCAAATACAGAGAGAGATCTATTCTTCCAGGCTATGAGACAGTTATATATAGCCTGTATTACATCAGTAGCTAATTATGAAGTTCAAGTTTGGTGAAATAATCAAGGGAATTTCACTGAACTCTTTCAAAGTCTGCAAAACAGAGCCTTGAGAAGAATTCTGAGAGCATTCAAATCATCTCCTATTAAAGCAATGAAAATTGAAGCTTCAATTCCTTCTTCTGCTATTAGATTTGAAAAGGCCTGTATGAACTATGCTCTGAGAGTTATAAAGATGAGCTCAAATCATATAATCAGAGAAAGAGTCTCATCTTCATTTTCATTAATTAACTCTGAAAATGAACTGGATTGGAATAGATTTCTTGATTGAAATGAAAATGATTCTTCAAAGAAAATGTCTTCTCAACTTTACAGACTATGCTCTCTGATTAAAAATCAATTTTCT